AACCCCTTATAATGTTTAATTCAGAGCTGTTGCATGCAATGATTGCAGTCGATTTAACGCCCTTATGAAATTTTCTTTTGCGGATCCACTGAAATTTTTGAATTCCATACTTTTAGCTTTGACATTCGATTGAGTGTTCTACGGTTCAGCAGACCTTTATACATTTTTTTCATTTTGGTAAAAGTGAGGTGAAAGCTCATAGTGAGTTGGACATGAAAGACGAATCCTAAAAGAACGCTAGATTGGAGATTGGTAGTCGTTTGCCAACTCCATGCTATGAATCAAGGTATCATCATGACACAGCTGTTTTCAGCCGGTTACTCTGCAATGCGGCCACTCTTTGTGCTCGAAATGTTGTTCCGTTCTGTTGGAGTCGTACGGCGCAAACACTGTACCACGCCGTTCAAGAATTCGTATGGGTTTAAGCAGTATGAGCTATTCGCATTTGGAGAGAAAGAGCAGTTTCCAGTGAGTGGATAAGTTTTTTACACTAGCCTTTTCTACGCGTGTGTTTAGTGTTCATTACTTGTGTAGTGCTAGTAGTACTGTAAGGCTAAGTATTGGAAAGATGTTAATAAACTCACAGCAAATAGAGGCTGTTTTGGCAGTTTTCTGGAGGACTGAAGAAAGGCTGGGAGGACTCACGTTTCTATAACAAAGCGCGGCTTTGGTTTCTTGATTCAAAAATGAAGTGAAACGTCTAGACAAAAATATTCAGATAACAGTTTGTTTCTCAAACGTATATCAAGTGAAAGCACTTGGAGGGCCATTGGTCTAGCTTCATTAGGAATTTTCAGGTCCAATTCTTCTGTTCGGTCAGTAGGTCTTGCTTATAGATCGCCTCAATGCATTGTGTGTGGCGAGCGTCCGAAGACGGTATGTTGATATTCAAGACTGGCTCTATAGTGGTGATTTTCCTATCTTATCCATTTAGACTCCACCGGTGCCTAACCTGGAATTGGCGATCTTTCTACGCGCTCTGAATGCTGAAAAAATGACCGAGCATGAAAATCCGGCTTATAGAGAGATCATGGATGATGACAGGTAAAAAAACATTTTTTCATCGTTTGTTGTTGGAGTTTATAGTACAAGAGTGGCTTGAAGCGACTCAAGTTCCTGATTTCTGCGTCTGCTTCTGCTTTTTGGCGTTTTTCTTTGAGCCACTGTTGTATCCTAAAATTTACGAAAGTGGAACGAATTAGACAGGGGAAATAAGCTGTTGGTACGGGCAGTTTATACAGTTATTTTGATAATTCTATTTGTTTGTTTACTATTCTCTTTCTAGTCATGTTGACTGGAACGATATGCTACACCTGGTATGGTCGCTGTTGAGAATAAATTTTTAGTGTTTTATTCG